GACCACAAGATTGTAGCCTGTCAACTCCTTGCACCAAACAGGTGCACTCCCACATTACTGAGGCCTACAACACTCTTTCGCAGAGGTTTTGTTGACATTGATTAGCCAAGATCACAATACGTAATACACTGTCTAGACCGGGACGAGTTCTGTTCATCCGATGATCTGAACAAACTTCTACCTCAGTTTAGACTTTTGCCTTGGCTCCGTAGCCCCAAAGAAAACACAAAAGTCTCATATTAACATCAGAGACTACGTCCCTATCACACTCAGGTGAAAACTGAGGAAACTGGGGAGAAAAGTTTCGAAGCCCGTGACTTTTCCGCCATTCTTGGTATCCATGCCTTTTTCAGCTACCTGAAAGTTCACAGACGAAGTGGTGAAACCTTTACTGACAATAAAATTCTGAAACATGCAAATAAAACTAGTCTTTTGGTCACATACCCTAAGAAGAAACTCTGCTAAAAACCTAGCATGCGGAATATGTTGAAATTGGGCAACAAGACAAAGGTGGTTGATCTACTGAGCGAAACATTTAGCCTGTCCTTCACTGATTGCAGTCGCAGCCTTGCAACACTCAGTGGCACTGAAGCACATAAAATCTCGCAAGTTGGGTTTAACCTGAGCAACGCACATGGCGCAATAAACCCTCCTAACCCCTCTCTTAGTGAAGGAGTGGATTAGACACTTAGCATTTTCATGAAAAGTGGCAACGCGAACTTCATCATATGGCTGGAAAAATATTTAGCCTGTCCTTAAGCTCTGGCGCTTTTCTAGTTTCATGGAAGGCTAGTCACATTACCACGTGCTTCAAGAAAGGCTCCAAACTCAGCCCGGCAAACTACTGCCCCATCAACGTAACATCTGCCTCTTTGCATGTAATGGAGAAAGTAGTGAAGAACGACATCTTTTCTCAAGTTTCAGATCACAAACTTGTGAACTCCTCGCAGCATGGATTTCTGTCTAAGGAACCTTGCATCACATTTCACCTAGGATTCTCCGAACACGTACTCAGCAGTAGAGACGATAGAAAAGTGATTGTCTCGTTTTCTTTCGGTTTTACCAAGGCCTTGGACATGGTGCATCGCCCCTCACTCCTTCATAAACTGAATTCATTTGGGATAAGTGGCAAGTTGCATGACTTGATAGGCTCATTTTCGTCGAAACACGTCCAAGTTGTCAAAATAGGCTAGGTAAGTAGATAAATAAACATTTTATTCTCACACTAGCAAATCAATATGAGCGAAGCCGGTTTACAGACATCGTCACATCGGTATATGCAGGAATATCCATAAGATTTTTCGAGTCATGAATTATACAGACGGAACGCCATTAAACTCTATTAGAAACATCAGAAAATCCTGCTAGTCAAGAAACGAAGAAGAAGATATCACTTTTCAACTCATATAGAGTGTTGAAGTTTTCGTATAACGGACATAGCATGGGAGATGCCAGTTTACAAGCACTGTCAAATTCATAATTTTTGAAAGTTTACAAAACGGTACGTAGTATTAAGCGATTAACATTTCAAGTCACTGATGTGCAAAATCTTATTAAAACTTGCTGCAGCCCATGAGCTTGGCGTGAATTTTCATTTCCCACCATAGACAGGTTCCACTATGAAAACCAAAAGCGCGCAGTGTTCGAAGTTTGCTTTTTAACCAGGCTCACACCGTTACCCTCTCAAAAGTTTCACCAGTGGAGCTATCCAAGGATCCGTCATAGAGCTCTTCTTCTTTATAATGTGTGTAAATGATATATGCATCTACTTTCAATTAGGGAAAACCTTCCACTTTGCAGATGGCTTGAAACTACCGGACAGTTTTCACCCCAATCAGTGTAGTGGCATCAATACCGACGTACAGAACGATCTTGACAAGCCACAAAAAAGGTGTGACACGTGGCTGCCACCTCTCGACACACGTAAGTCCGGCTTTATACCGTTCGACGAACAGAGCGTGCCTACTAATCTTCGACTGTACAACACTGCACTCCGACGACTAAGTAGTATTTGCAACCTCAGAACAAGGTACTTTAGTGACCTTTCTCTTGCAGGACGCGCAACGGCATAGTGCAAAAATCACACCGCCTCATTGGCTTCATTCGGTGGAATTTTCGCCAAACTGATTCCATATAAGATGTGTGTGCGGCCACCACCAGAATACTGCCCTATTGTGCTTGGTTGCTTGTGGTTTACAGAAAATTCGGTTACTTTTTATCGGACTTATATCTCCCGGTAATTCACACAGAGGCAGATGTCGTGCCAATCGATTACAGTCCATGTGCTTAAGGCAAATAAAGTTGAACCCCAGCATTTTCTATAAAGTCTTTCACCATGAAGTGACTATCGATGTAGATACAGTAACGTTCGCTGACAAAAACTCTACGACCCCGGAGACCAAGACCGCCTAGTCACACTACCATATGCGTTTAGACATCTTAAGTCTTCTTTTTTCCACAACTGGTTACGCTAACATTTGGAACGGCCTGCCGCATGATTTCTGATTCTACAAGACCACATCCCAGTTTCAGTCAACCGTGAACTACTACTTCAATCAGCTTGGAGTATGCAGGATTTTTAATGTGCCGTAAACAGCCGACGTTATATTCTTTATTGGTCAACCAAACATCTAGAGTCCAACACACAATAATCTAGTGCAACCACCCAAGGTATTATCAAACGGTAATCTCGAAGTACGAATTCTTTGAAATCGTTGAGTATGCCATCTCTACCTTGCCGCAGACTCAGCTGAGATGAATGTCTGCCTGTCGCGCTTTTCGCCTTTGAATTCATAATGTTGTTTCGCTTTGTCTCCTGCTTTTCAGACTTGACAGAGACATCCACTACTCTTCCTGCTTGTATTTACCACCGCCAAACTTTGTATAGCGAGGTTAGGACTCGAAACCAACCTACTTGTAGCAGAAGTGGTCAATCCGAAATGTAGCCAAATCAGTTGTGTAACATTTAGCGCACTATCGATTTACTGATGGCCTGATACTTGAAAACGGTCCGGCATTTCCGAACCAGGATATCTACAGCGCTTACGACAAAATCACATAGGAAAACGTATTCTGAAGATTGGTTGAAGTGGACTTATACCAAATTTTATCACAATGGTGAATGGACGATTTCATTGGTAACCACTTCGTTCTATATCTTCTTCCTCCTAGAAACCTGAGCGTAACATGAAAGAAATAGAGAAACAGCATTTTTGCACTTAACATTTTTCGTACAAAATGAGCGCAAACCGAAGGTAAATTCTTAAATGAGGATTCACCAGTTTTGTGTGCTATCATGTGCATATAAAGAAACGAAGGAAAATACTTTCATTGGTGTTGACTGCTTTGGTAGCTTGAAGGAGCTTAGATGAATTACGCCTCAGGAAAACGTTTCCTGTATTATCGAATGATTTGTTCCACCAGTGCCTTCGCAGAAAGATAATAGAAAACCCAATAATAGCCACAATGATCCATAATGGAGTGAAGAATTAATGGTCCAGCAAAGAGCAAAAGCCCAGATGGGATTACACCCTATTTTTTAAGGTTGATTTGGCCTCAGCTTCACCAGTCGACAGTTTCGGAGAAAGGTTGATTTCCTTGGCAGTGCCATACGAACTAGGCCCCCTGAGCTATTAGATATAATAGTCCTAAGGAATGAAGTCGTATCCTGTTAGCTCCTTTACTGCTTTTGCCTTCATTATAACCTTTTCCTGTTGCAATGATGTTTCACCGCGACTCCGCATTCCGTTCCTCTGTAGCCATTCTTTTTTTACTTTGTAGGAGACTGGGTGCCCTGTTATTGAGTAACACTTAACCGGCCTTACTCCTTTCGATATGCTCTGGCACCCACCTAATCAGTGTATTGCCTAAGGTATAGGCACCGAAAACGAAACAATTGAAAAAGCCTGGAATACTTAGACATTAGCTCAAAATAGCAGTATATTTAGATAGAATTAAGATTAAGGTGAGCTTATGGGAAAAGGCTTATTCACCCTATTATTATGGTTAGCCAAGAACTCTCAGAATGTGCATGCGGACCAGCACAAGGAGAACCAGGAATGGCGTCGGAGCATGTTTGATGTGTCTTCGTTAAAACTAAACTTGAAACACCTTAAACACCCAGAGGCAAGCCAGAAGTTTATTTAGTTTACGTCTAGTTAATTCACTTCAACCTTTTATTTTGACCGTAGTTCTACTTTTTTGACGAGTCCACGTGCTACAACCTCCTCTTATCAGAAGACTACCCACCATTCATATCATCACTATCACCACTTTTATTTATCCCTATTCGTCGCTCTCTAATGCGCCCTTCTTTACCTCCTACATCATTTCGTTTATTCCAAATCTTGTCGCAAAGGCCGCTTGTCCATATTTTAGTTTACATCCTTTCCCGATTACCTCTGCCACCCATCTATTTCCTTTCGAGCATTTCAAACAACTGTTTGTGAACACAAAGCCCGAAGGTCTGTGAACCATGGAGTATCATTACAAACGTTATATCTTCAGTAAAGCATGACGAAAACCGAGCAAACTGCAAAGTTTAACAGGGCTGCAAAACGGTAGTGCATTAGTAAGTCTCATCGAAATCCAAAACTGACCCGGAGGTGTTGACCGAGGCCTATTATTAAGTGTGAAAAATTCACTTACTTAGCTGGCTGGAAAAACAGCGGATTTCGGAATGACGCGACATTAATAAGTATCTCAAGCCACAAAAGCCACATTGATTGTGAAAAATCCGAAAAATCATTATTTTCGTAGAACTGTTGTTATTGTATAAGCTGTTAGAAAATAACTTGTGACTTATGGTTTCGTTTTGCCTACCAAAGAAAAAAAATGTGTGTAATCAAGCAGCGTAAGCAACAGTACTATGCATTTTCAGAACAACCTTGTATCGACTACAGATTACAATCAGTCTAGACAGATGAACCATTTGTACCATTGGTTGAATATTCTTTTAGTTCGACGAACGCTTGTGTTTTACTATACCAAACATGAAGGGTTTTCATTAGAATGTTTGGTACCGTTTCAAAACAGAGTTTAGAGCTTTCTCATATTTCGAAATCATTTCTTCGGAACAAATTGAATAAGTGTAAGACAGTGAATTCATATTTAGATAAAATTGCATAATGCCTCAAAGTTTGTGAGTATAATACCTCCAGATGAGGTACTGTAGACTTTGACTTTTGCAAAGTAAGGGAAATAAGCTCAACAGTCCGTTTGACCGTATCAGTAAACTGTGATATAAAAAGTAAATTCCTGAAATGACGATCTGACACTTTGATTCGGTGATCAGTGCATCCACCGGTTGTTTGATCAACAAACAGTGCACCGTTGAACGTTAGAACCATTTTCGTTTTTTTCAATTTTGATGTTACACAAATGATACACTTTCACAAAATAAATTAAATTATGATGTTACCAAGCTAATAACTTTGACAACAAGGCGAAAAGTTGGAAAGAATTAAAAGTTACTGGAGATACTAGCAAACTGTCGCCGTTAGGCATAGGAAAATGAAATATTCTTGCATGAGTGTATCATGGTTTAGACCAAATTAGTTCTGACATCAGCATATTAAGACTGTCATCTTAAACATTCAGTGTACAGGAAAAATGATGAATTTTCAGAAAATAGTCAGACGAACAAAGGGATTATGAGATACATAATACATCATGCACTGATGTCATAATATCTGTTATGAGGATAGATAATTTCATGATTTTCATTTATAGGAGATATGAGTGTACTTGTTCTTCAACACCAATTTTGAGTTGTAGTACCTAGAGCTGTGAAGTCCCTTTTTTGAACTTGATTTATCATATGGTGTTAGATAAATCTTTGGAAGTGTGCAGATTTCTATTTGTTGTATAATTTCTGCGGTTACTCTAAACGAAAGTTGTTAAAAGCTATAAAACTTCACTGTAGAGTTTATGGTACTCCAATGTATATGACTGCGAAATAGTACGTCACACAGTACCAGGTGCGTGTTGTTTTCGCATATTGAGTGAAGATGAAATTTATGTCATAAAAACTAATACTGAAACTTTTTCTTTAAAGAACAAGAACTGACATTATGAGAGTGAGATAAATTGTTGAAATAAGAGATGTACTATTAGCATTCAACTTGATAGTAGGTTTTTATCAGATCCTATACTCAAGTCATACTGTTGTTTTCTTCCTGGTCATGGGATTTCAGATTTACTTTTAGCTGCTCAAGTATTCACTGTAATCAATGGGGAATTTACCAGCAATAAAATCAGCTCTCGTTCTTTTGTCGTGATTCAATTAATATTGAGTCTCAGAATAACAATTTCAACCTTGAAGTTCAGACTGTGTCTTATCTCTGAGCTTCTTAGTGCTTCGTTCATACCGCACTTAATAATTTTCTGAGTTGTGGGCGCATCAAGTACATGAAAATTATATAGCATATTCATCTAGACTTACTTTCTTGTAAGACTCTAAAGTTATGTTTCAGGAGATAAGTTCAGCACGTATATGTATACTATTGCATTTTTAAGAAAGGGTTGTGTTTTCCGCAGCCAAAAATAGTTTTTGCTATTAGTTTATGACCACTTGATTGGTATTAATATGCATGCCAGCTACGTGGTAGACTAAACCCACCACATTGTTTGTCGCGACCTGCTTGGCCTACCTGTGCTTAATTACATAGATGAAATGAATAATAAAAAAGGCGCTGCTCATAAGGTGCATTGGATAGTATGCAAGAATATGAAACTCAAAAATGCGAGGGAAAGACGAGTAGAAACCATGGTCTCTTAAGTGTTTAAAAACTCAATGATCCAAAAACTCACAAGAATTGAATTTTGGCTATGTTCATTTCATGGTTAATAACACTTAAGCTATTTCGCCAGGAACAGAGACAGTGACCCCCACAACCGATAGAGTTTTTTCATCAGTTGAGAGCAAAGCACTTTGACTGACTGAACTTCATAAATATTATTTAAATATTGACACAAATATTATGTTGGACCGCTTGTGCAAACATGGGATATTTAGGTTGCAAAGAAACTCTAAGCCTATGTTCTCAAGCATGAGGAGTTACTGTGACTCTTCGAAATATATAGGGTTTTTCATAATTTACTTGTAAGATGGATCACCTGAAATCGCTAGCTACTGGCTGGCCACTGGTATCGAAATTAGATGATACAACTTAACATTAAAGACTGACAATAATGTGATTTACAAATAAATATCTCAGGTTAAACAAATTTTGTGACAAAGAATATGATACATGTTCGACTTAAGTCACTGCCAGTTTTCAAGAAATTTTCAAAATTATTGACATTGATTTATCCCAGTTAGTTGGCTTTATTGTTAAGCTTTTACTGTCTTCGTAAATAGAATTAACAGCAATTCCATTTTTATTGATTTGTTTGGTATATCATAATGTGTGACAGTATTGTTTGCTGGGTTACCTTTCGGATACATTTTATTGTCCATAAGCGCATCAAGAAAACTACGCAACTTTGAGACCTCCTTTATCTAACCCTGATTTCCTCACCCTCTTTGTGATATGCTTAGTAAGATTTTTCATATATCCCAGACAGGCGCTGAGTCATTCCTGTTGCATTTTTTGAGTGTTGATTCAATAAACAGAGATTCAGTTATCAATCTCTCTTTCTCCTGTGTAACGTTGGTTTTGTGGATTTTTACCTTATCCTGTCACATTTTATGGTTGTATGTAATCGCATGCATAGCGATGACTGAGAGTTTTTCTAGACTCCTTACCTTACTAGGATCTACCAGTTTTGGCCTTGATCGTTTTTTGTGTTTGGATAGCCCAAACAAAAATATCAGTAGCACAAGTGCTAACAGTAATGTCAATAATATTAGTGGCAATACTTTGAAGAGAGGAATTGAAACTCTACACTACTAGCATGCAAAGAAGGCACCTCAAAAACACTACGTAGGATTCTCACTGAGGCTGAGATCAGAGAGGCATTTAAACATGTAAACTCGCTTAGAAATAAGCTTTATGAGTTAAAAGATCCAATTAAGCAGAAAAGCTTAGTTTACCAAATCCCTTGCAACGACCGTGAGATCAAATATCAAGGCATCTGCAGAGGAGCCCATTTGCAAATAGAGGTCGAACAATTCAATCCAGCAAAATAACGGAGAATCACAAGCATATCAATAAATAGTAATGATGTGCATAGTGTTTTAACTCCAAATGGATATCATTAATTGCCTAGCCGATAGCTGCTTCCTTGACCTGATAATCAGACTTGGATATTATGATGATCTGGCGAACCAGACTGACTAAAACGCTTGCATGCTGAGGTTATGCTATGCCAGAAAGTTCTGATCGCTAGTGGTACATCAAAAGGCAGTTACTGTTATTCTGCATAATACTACAGCCTTGATGGGTGTTTGAGGTTGAAATCGCACTGCTGCCTCAATGAGATATGACAGAAGTAAAGTGTTAACCATGGGTGACTAGCAGTGGCATGTCAATGCTGCCTTCTATATATGAGAGGTAAGTAAAAGTGGTTGCTTCCAAGAATTCCCCCATTTCCCCTTGACCTGTCGTATTAGTTAGCCTGTGGCATGAATTTTCGTTGTGTAGCACCAGCACAAACAAGTCTTAACCCACCAATACTACAAAGGCCTTCTGTGACATGCCTCAAACAAATATTTCATGGGCTGTGTGGTCACGGGGAACCAATCCTTTTTTCTTTCTAGGACCTTGTAGAAACAAATAATGTGTGGAAAGCCGAAATGTACCACATAGCCAAATGCTTCCAGGTGTACACAAAATCCAGTCGACCATGACCTTCGTTAAATCCTTTGCCATCACTTCTTGATACCGATATTAAGCCCCTTACAAAACCCCCAACCTCTAATTCCACGGCCATTGCTTAAAATCCATTCCAGTAAAACACCACTCATATTGGAGCTTTCAGCGTCAAAATACTATATCAAATAAAAACAGGTATGTCTTGCCAAAGCACTCTAGTCTCAAGCGATAGTTGTATGCAGCGTTTTTGAGACATTTAAACAGGATCGAAGTCTCGTTTTTACTTGACTTAACCTGACCAGTATGGTGGATCTGCTAAATCCACATTACATGTTTCCGGAAATTCAATGGCTAGCTTTCGTGAACCCGATGGTGTAAGTTAGCATTAAGTTGTGGAGCAAGAAGTCAATAGTTGTCTGTATGCTGTTTGATTAAATCGATCTGTAGGAAGTAGGACGAGTTATGACACTTCCCTATGGCTAATAATAATCTGCGCCTACATACCCACCAACTGCAGTTCGCATAATGTGCAGGATGAATTCTATCAAAAGCTGTAAGTTTTGTTATAAAGTATGCGGATATCGTCATCCTAGCAGACTACTTTAACGCTCAAGTAGGAAAGCAGAACCATTCGGAAAGACATCTGAGAGGTGTCTACGGAATCGCATACCAAAGAACGGAGAAGGCTTTTCATCTCTTCCAATTTTGTTTTGAGAATGACTTTTTCTGGCCAGCACTAACTTCAAGCATAGGAAGAGAAATTGTCTGACATGGTGTTCACTGGCTTTAAAACAACGCAGGATAAAAATAGATGATATTGCTATTAGCCACAGTTGAAGAGAATCGGCGAAGGGATCATCGGTGTTTTTGAAGTGTGTGCATGGACTCTGATCACGCATTAGCACGTGTGTGTGTGTGTGTGTGTGTGTATTATTGCACCTTGCTAGCTGCAGGAAGCAGATACGACTGAAGCCACTGCGTGCTGTATTGGAAGATGAGAATGTCAAATGTATATTTAAGGAGGAGATAGCAAAGCATTTATCTGAACATGGCAACCATTCTCATCCTGATTAGGCTTGTTATAATATTCAGTCTGCTGTAGAAAAAGTGGCAAAGACGGTTGACAAAGCACATTTAAAGGTGAACAGAGGGAATCGAATATCCGAAAAGTCATCCAAACTTATTGATGTGAGAAGACTCATTTCAGCTGGCTGAAATGGTAGTCAAGAGCAAAAGCATCTCAAAAGTAAATCGATCACTAGTTTCGACAATGATGGCCAGCAGTGTGAAGGATGGAGTTAGTATAAATGAAGAAGTTATCAGCACTAGCTAA